CATTAAAAATTAACTTTAAGTGGGTCTTAGTATTAAACATAAAAGCTAAAAGCACTAAATGTCCATAAGAAAAGTTAAGATAAAAAATCTTTGTGATCTTAGGGGTAGTCAAAAGATTCCTCAGATGAGACCAACAAGGCATAAACTTTAGGGGGGAAAATTGAAAATTTTACTTCATTGAAATTGAAAAACCTCTGTTTTTCAAAGGATCACATTAAGATAACAAAAACACAAGTCATAGGGAGGGAGATAATATTTGTAATGCAAATGACTTATGGCCAGGATATAAAGAACTCTTGTAAATCAATAATTATGGGGGGGAAATCCCAATTAGAAACTGAGTAAAAGATGTGGGCACCTGGCAAAGATATACAAATGACCAATAAGCACATGAAATGAAGCTCATATCATTTGTCATCAGTGAAATACAAACTAAAATATCAATGAGACACCATTATACTCTCAATAAAATAAGACTGACCATATTAATGTGTACAACCCTCATACATTGCTGGTAGGAATGTAATGTATGTAACACATTAAAACAGAATCTGAAAGTTTCTTATAACATTGTATGTACACTTACCATGTGATCCAGCAATTCACTCTAAGGTATTTTCCCAAGAGAACTGGAAACATGTCTGCACAAAATCTTGTAAATGAATGTTCATAAACAGCTTTATTCATAATGGCCCCAAAGTGAAAACAATCCAAATGTCCATCAACAGGTAAACTGAAACAATCTGCGGTATATATACATATAATAAACTAATTCTTAGCAACATGGAACATGCACGAATTTCAAAATATACTGAGTGAAAGATGCCAGACACAAAACTGTGAATACTATATAATTCTACCCATATGAAATCAGTGAAAAGGCAAAACTAATTTTTAGTGCCATAAAGGATTATGTGGTTGTCTGGAGGTGAGGAAAATTGGCGGCAAAGAGGCGGAGGCAAATCTTTTGCAATAAAGAGTCCCATCTTGATTATGGTGGTAGTATATATTTTGGTGACTGTATACATTTTTCAAAACTCATCAAACTGTACAATATGGGTGTGTTTTATCACATGTAAATTATACATCAATAAGGTTGGTTAAAACACTTAACTGTAGTTATCTCTGACACAACTGAAGACACTAAGTCATGGTTCATATTTTGCATAATCATAATTAACCTCACAATTAACTAATTTCCAAGCAACTGTTACATTAGGAGCTTAACACCATTTGAATTTATTGTACGTGTTCAGATGTGTTTATCTGCCCTTGCACCTATACCAAACCGTTCCCTCTTCCACACTACCACTCTGATGAGCTCACTGAGAGCAGAAACCCTGGCTATCACTTTCATGCTATATACTCAGTGCCAAGTTGCATACCTGGTCCACAGCAGGTGCTCAATATATACTGGTTGAATTCATGAATAAATTAAACCCTTACATGTTAGTATGCATCTGGAATCTCTTGTAGGCCTTTATCCATTCTCCCTGAGCAATATTATCTGTTTCTGTGGCTTCAGTTATATCTATACACTGACGACTCTCAAATCTGTGTGTACTATGTTCTCTTACTGATCACCGGACTGATTTCAACTGCCTACTGGACAAATCCATGTGAATATCCCACAAGCAACTCAAATTCCACGTTTAAAATGGAACATGTTAAGTTCCTCTAAGTTTACTCATCTCATCCATACTAAAAATAGAACTTTCCCTAAAACATCTCACACTCAAACTATCTCAGTTACTCCTCAAATGGTCTCTACTTACTTTTCAACTTATGTAAATCTAGCTTCCACCCTAACCAGGCTAGTGAAAGCATCCTCTCTGAAGTCAGCACAAGAGATCATTTAATTTTCTCAATTGAGCCTTAGACAACTATACCCTAGATCCACTCCTCCACGCCCAACAGCTTTGTCTTAACTCAATCTTTACTCTTTCTTTCCTGGATTCATTAAAAACCAGTCTAATTGGTCTATTATCAAGTCTGTCTCTTTCTTGTCTAGTTCATCTTTTACACTGCTGACAGAATTATCTTTCTGTTAACCAATCATGTCAAATCTCTTTTAAAGATAAGTCAGTGGTATTTGTCTAATGGCTAAAAAAATTCGAACTCCCAACAATACACACACATTTTTTTCAGCCTCCTCACTAGCCGCTTCCACTTTAAATTATTTTCTAAAACACCATGCCCTTTTATGTTTTCAGTGCTTTGATGCTTCTGCCTATAATTCCTTTTCTGATCCACCTTAAAATTTGAAGTATTCTTTAAAACATATTTTAAATATTCCCTCTGCTATGAACTCTTCCCTAATTCCTTCAATCAGAACTGTTCATCTCCACTCACAATTCTTGATATCACTAACCACACTTCGAGTTAACAGTTATCATGTTATACTTACTATGTCATTTATTATGTGGGGTAGGCATTACATACATAATTTCTTGCACCATGCTACAAACATTTAATTATTTTTATCAGACCATTGTGTAATGTGTGAGCACTGATTCCAGGAGATAGGATTAATTTGTGGCCGTGGGTTATCTTCTTCCGCATATTGATTTTATTTGCCTATCAGTCTCCAACTTGACCATAACTCCCCATGTCCAATGTTTAGCATGCTACCCAGCATTTGTAGGCCCTTAATGAGTACTGCCCAGTGTGAGTAAAGAAATGTTCCATGTCCTGTGCTTCAGCTGAATCAATTCCAGTGTTCAATGGGATGGCATTCCATGGGCAGATTAACTTCATATCCATCTAATTCTTCATATACATGCTGAAATTATGAAAACCTCTTCACAATATACTATCTACCACCTATCTTTCCCTTAGTAAGAGTTTTTCAAACTGTAAACCTAGCACTGTTTTCCAGCAATGGTTCAAATGTTCCATTTTAGGACTTGATTCTAGACTTTATTTTGGGACACAGTCTTGCTCTGTCTGTTGCCCAGGTTGTACTACAGGTGTGAGCCACCTCATCCGGCCTGTACTTTTCTTATACTTTAAAAAAAAAAAGAGAGATAATGCTACGGATAAAAAAAAATTTGAAAGTTTTTCAAATATCTGTTTTCTCTGATAGTTATATCTGCTTTTTGATGTGACTATGTTAAGATGGCAGAACTTTCTAGAACCTAAAATCTGTCAGGGTTTAAAATCAAGTAAAAACAAGTAAACTACATTACTAATATGATGTTTTACGTATGTACTCCCAAATGTGTTTACATATAAAATTTTATATTAGAAAAAAATCTAAAGTCCCTTCCATCTCAAAGGAGTCAGAATTCTTTTAATTTTTATTTATTATTATTAATATTATATATATTTTTTGAGATGGAGTCTCGCACTGCCGCCCAGGCTGGAGTGCAGTGGTGCGATCTTGGCTCACTGCAAGCTCCGCTTCCCAGGTTTACGCCATTCTGCTGCCTCAGCCTCCCAAGTAGCTGGGACTACAGGCACCCGCCATCACGTCTGGCTAATTTTTTGTATTTTTAGTAGAGATGGGGTTTCACTGTGTTAGCCAGGATGGTTTCGATCTCCTGACCTCGTGATCCGCCCGCCTTGGCCTCCCAAAGTGCTGGGATTACAGGTGTAAGCCACCACACCCAGCCCTATTTATTTATTTTTTTGAAACAGGGTCTTGCTCTGTCATCCCGGCTGGAGTGCAGTGGCGGGGTCTTGGCTTTGCACCTCCACCTCCCTGGTTCAAGCACTTCTCCTGCCTCAGTCTCCCAGTAGCTCGAATTACAGGCACCTGCCACCATGCCTGGCTAATTTTTTTTTTTTTGGTAGAGACAGAGTTTCACCATGTTGGCCAGGTTGGTCTCAAACTCCTGACCTCAAGATCCACCCTCCTCGGCCTCCCAAAGTGCTGGATTACAGGCATGAGCCACCATGCCCAGTCAAGGAGTCACAATTCTTAAATGGCTTACTCAGTTGTATATATAGTTGAGGGCAGAAATAAATTTATTAATGAAATCTATGACAAAAACAAACCAATATCCAGAAGACTATGGGCCACCACCACACATTAGTCCTACTTACAGGGACTAGTCTTCAAACATTACACAATAGCTTTTTTCAAAATAAAATAAAGATTTGTAGGCAAAAACATACCAGGTATTCTGAAATAATATATGTAATGCCTACTTCACTATCTGATATGTGAGTCCATCAATAACTGTCAGTTTCCTCCCTAGTTTATCCATATATCCCCTAAATGCAGGCCCCTGTTATGTCAGAGCAATTTTTTTGAGTATATAAAATCTTTTACATGCAGCATTCCACATACTGTTCTTTCTTAAGAGTTGCCTTGGGTGAGAAAAGAACAATACATATGAAATTTCAGCCACTGTCATTTGTGGGAAAATAAAAAATCTCCTTAGATATAGCTGGATTCTGGAGAAAGGGAAATGCTGGGGTCACTTCAACATGACTTGGAATGAGTATAGGTATATAGCTGCCATCCACCTGAAGAGTACTATAATTAATTATATGTCATTAAATGAAAAATCACATCATTGCCAATCTTTTCTAGCAAAAGGAAATGTAATACATCTTTATATGAAAAATAATTTCTTCCTTCAAATACTTGATTTTTCAAATAATTCCAAGTAGTAGAATTTTCATGTTGAGTTGAAATCTCTTCTGACACAAACAGAAAAGGTTATCAGTTCTACTTGGGAAGGACACAAAATGATAATCATCTTTTTCTGCATCATGATGGCTCATTTCAGATCTATATTAAAGTTTCTTTGGTTGGAACAGCTCTTACTGTGTTTGTATATTACTTATATTTTGTTGAAGTATCTTGTGTGTCTTACTACGTATGCACTGGTGCATAAATTCTCCAAATGAGTATCACAGCGATATAGGGTGGGTGGTTAGACCCGAATAGTTTATGCAGTAATAATGGACTGTTTTGCTCAAGGCCTGCTTGATCCTTACCTGTATTACTGTGACTCATTGTGGTTTTTATATGCACCAGGATTTCCTTATTCAAACGTAGTATTTTTTTTTTTTTTTTACAGGGTTTAAAATTTCAGTAAAATGAGTTGATCTACAATTCTGCTGGTTTTTATGGAAGTTCAGGTGTGTGTTATGTTTGCATATCCCTTGGACTTTGGTCTGCGTATCAAAGTCTAAAGATTCCAGATAAAACAGGTCGCTTTGCATAAACTGGGGCTGCCCACTGGAAGAACAAACCTGAGTGTTAATGTCACTAAAGGAAGACCAAGCCTTCAGGAGACTTCTAACACATACTTAGATCTCTCCAGGGTCCTTGGAAGGTAGTTAGAGGTCAAATTTAAGAGAGCTTTCTAAGAATTTTTAAGATTTTAATGGCAAATCAGAGCAGCATCTGCTGACCAAATCCACAAATGTGTTTTGCTCATTGTAGTCTAAGTAATTTCTTACGCTTTTATACATTTGTTTAATAGCCTACATGAACATTTGGTCTCAGAGGCAACACAGTAAGTTATGTTTCAATGACAAATTAAAAATGAGGGAAAACACACAGTTGGGCCCTCCATATCCATGGGCTATGCATCCAAATATCAAAAATACTAAAAAAGAATTTAAAAATAACACAAAAAAGCAATACAGTATAACAATTATTTATATAGCATTTACATTATATTAGGTATTATAAGGCATCTAGACATGATTTAAAGTATAAGGGAGGATGTGTGTAGTTTATATGTAAATACTACAACATTTTATATAAGGGACTTGACCGTCCATGAACTTTGGTATCTTTGGGGGTCCTAGAACCAATCCTTCCTGTAGATACCAAGAGACAACTATATTCCTAAGTGTGGGTGTGTATGTACATGCATTATTTCTTTCTCCATATTATCCTAAGAGAAATTTACAAAGTTGTACTTGTATTGATCTCTTAACAAAAACGAATACCTTATTCTAAAAAAAAAAAGCTGCTGCAAATAGCCACCTTGATGATAACTATACGGATTGGAAAACATGAGGTATAGGAGAGATAAGAATAAATAGGAGACAGGTTGATTCTCAGATTCTCAGGGAGACCAGCCACCACCCCCTTGACTTCCACCAGCTCCATCCCAATGTAATCTATACTAAAGTCATATTGTTAAAAAATAAATAATTAAAAGAAGCCTGTGGCTACAAAAACCTGCTATTATCATATTGAACTCCACAAAAGGAGGCATATCAGTTGAAATGTATTAACTGTGAATTATATTTGAAAAGGAAAATTTTAATTTAACTGGACAGTCTCATCTTGCTGGAAACGGCATGATTATAATACAATAATGAAATGCCCCTCCATAAAACACTCCTTGATTTTGGACAATAAACTAATTATAGTTTAACTAAAACACCAACTAAGTGTTTCTTTATATTATTTATGTGAGGAAAAAAAACCTAGTTTGTTATACTATACTCGGAAGGTTTCACAAACAACACTGTTTCAGTGGATGATGCTCACAGAAGAGGCACAGAATAGCAAACTGAAATGAAATCCATCTAGAAGGGATGATTTACTAAAATAATCCACTTTCATTTTCAACCTAATTTTTAATGACTAGTTTAAACAAAGAAACCACTTATATCTAATATAATTAGCATAGAAAAGCATATTAAAGATGTGAAAACGTAGAATAATGCAAAGTACAACATGAAACAAATTCTTTCACTTCAGTTCAAATGCACAGCATTTCAAGAGTGTCTTTTGCATAGTAAGTTTTTTTAAAAAGCTGAATGATTTTGAAACATTTTGCCATTGTAATAAAAGAGTACACAACAAGGAACCCTGAAACACTATGTAGGACTACAATTTTGAATGAGTTCTTATAAAATGTGTAGAAGTTACAGAAGCATACGATTAGGCTGAACAACAAAGTCTGAAGTTCACAGAACTATTGAATAAAACATTTAAAAGAATATAAACAAAATGTATTAATACTTGATAATATTTGAAAGAAATAAACATTCATTTCTGACAGAGATCCAAAAGGTTCGATTCTAAAATACGATAAAAACTTCAGGTGAGACCAAACAAGAATAAAAGAACTGCTGAGAATGTGCAAGTGTTCAGTCACATTCTGCTCTCTTAAATCAGTTTTATTAATAACTTTAATTGTATAATAATTTTACCTATTTTGTAGGTTTAAAAGAATTTGAGCTTGGATACCTACATTCAGTTGATCAAAGTAGCTTTCTGTAATTTATAAATTCAAATTAAAGACTGGGTGATGAAACAAAATTAAAAGTTAAAACAACTTTGTTTTCAATACACTCACATATTTTTACTTTGTAATACAATATAGCTGTCACATACAATGACTCTAGTAGGCTTAAATCAAATTGGAATGGGCAAGGACAGCCAAAGAAGGGTTTACACAATATTCAATAAGCAATAGTATCTATTCAGTTTGCAATAAAATAAAAAAGTTCTAACCTAGAAACACAGAAAAAGAATTTATTGTGTTTAAGTTTCCGAAATAAAAGTAACAGAATAGCACATAATCTGTAACAAGCTGGTCCTACAATTTCTAATCTGCAGTCCAATTAAAACATTTAAGTAACAGAAACAATCTACATGTTTTTCTACCAGGTAAATATACCTGAGAGGGTAACCACAAAGAACCTTCTGCTGCGACATTATGAAGAAGGGCTACGCATGTGGCCGGACTAAGCCATTTCCCAGAGATTCTGCTCACTGCTTAGCTGCAGGTAGTGGTCCATCAGTGACACAGTATTTTACATCAATACCAGCTCATTCAACCAAGGAAGCACAGTAATATTTTAAAATCACCTGTTTATATTCATTAGTATGTAAAAATCACAATACACAGATTTGGAAACGTATAACGTGTCCACAAAAAAGAGTGTATTTTGTCAGCATAAGCTTTTTAAAAAGGCTTAAGCAATGCAATAATGAGGGAAGCAGACTCTACGTGTTGACTACAGTGAAGATATGTTAAAATTATAATTACTCTCATTGCCAAGAGCTTAGAAATAAAAACAAATTTAAAAAATTAAGATGTTCCGGTAGCAAAATTACATCTACTGTAACAATAGCTCCAAGCAAAAAATCAATTCAGAGCTTGAATGCAATTTGTGCTTTGTTTCTATAAGAATGCAGTGTTACTCTCAGACATTTCTAAATGACTAGATTCATAAATAAGCAGTGAATTTCTTTTCATCACAATTTATTTCTAATTCATCCTATGCAGATTATAGACAGAACTAAAAATTACTTAGCTTTTTTCCAGTACTTTATATAAATCGAGATCTTTTTTTAACAGTGATTTATTGTGTTTCTCAAGGTAAAACAACAAAAACAAATTCTAAAATTATAACTTTAAATTAAGTGGTTAAAATTTCAGATGACAGAGCCAATAACTGGTAACAGCTTCTTTAAGTTCATATTAAGAGTCCAATTAAAAACACTAACAACTACCTGGCAATAGTTTGAAAGAATCAGAAGGGTTCGGTGAAGGGAAAAAAAATCCAAACATGCAAAATACCCCCCAAAACACATGACCTTCTTTTTCATTTTATAATCTAGACTTGTAAAATTTTTATAAATACATGATCATTCTACACAATACAGATCTTCTAGAGCATTTCTAAAGGATATTACAGTTTTTGGTCTTAAGGAATAAAGACTAAGATGGAAAAGGAGATGAAAACAGTGAAATCTGAGAAAGCAATACTCTCTCTACACACAAGCTGTAGTTCATCCAGTCAAGTTAGCGGTTACAGTTCAGTACATGATTTTCAAGGCAACTAAGAAATCAAGACAGATATTTCCCTTTCCTAGAGTTAACAATTCTTTTAAAAGTTCCGATGTATCCATAAAGGAGTGCTGATTTTTGTGGGGTTTTTTCCAAAAGGAAACAAAGAATAAATAGGGGAAAACAAGTTTCCATCCCTAAAGTCACATACACAAGTTAAGTTAAACTATAAGCTAGTTTTAGACTACCCAGTGAAACAGAATTGTTGGTACCATCTGAGGCAGATGCTACCCTCCCTAGTCAGTTCAAAACATGATCCAGTAAAACAAATACACATTGTTATGCCTCAAACAACTATAAAGCATTTCATTATTCTTCAAATACCAAGTTTAATTAACTCCTAAGGTAACAGACTTCTAGAATGTTGTATCTTAATGGTGTACCTGAATCAATACTAGCAACAGAACGCAAAATTCAAAACTACAATAAAGGTAAAATGATCATAAAAAGAAATTCAATCCTTATGTAAAAAAAGGGAGAACTGAGTGTGAAATACTAACACCAAATGTCTGAAGGCAGAATTTTTGTTTGTGGAAGACAGAGTGAAGAGATAGATGCACCTAATCAAGACCAAGTGGAAGACAGTGAAGAGTATGAAAAATGCTTAAAAAAGAAAAAGAAAAAGAAGGAGGAAAATGGCGAAGAGACAGGCAGCAAAAGAATTACTAGACAGATCAAAAATAAGAGAAAATGAGGCATGTGCATACGGCTCTTTTTTTGTCTGTCCTTTGTGTTCCTAAATAACTTAAAATGTAAGTGGCATGTAGGCCATACTAGCAGGCAAGAATGAGCCTTGTGATGGATAGAGATGAAGGATCTGAGGCTAACGAATTGTTCTGTTTTTTTTTGTTTTTGCTTTTAATTCATACCTGAAAGCCTTGAATCCTTGCTAAATATTCCAGTTGTTTTGAAGGTTGTACTGGAGAACAAGGGGGAGTAGGAGAACTTCCTTTTAAACCTATGGCTTCAGCTGTAGAAGATGTTCCGTTCATAAGGAGTTCCCTGGCAATTGTAGCTGAACTATTCGATGTGGGAGATATACTGAAGAAAGAGCTTGAAGGTTGGTTCATATCTTTGGGTGACAAATAGCCTAGAGTAGTGCCAGAGATTACTTTGTGGCGGCTGGCTTCCATCTCTTGATAAACATCAGGAGACAAATGAAGAATTCCTTTTGGAGCTATAAATAAAATGAGGAACACTGTTATTCCACTTAATTAAAATAAAAACACGTTATAGTATTAACTCAATGGCTTTACTTGGTATAGTAACAAAGAAATGAGAAATACTGGCAATCAAGTATCTTTGTCATATTGTAGAGGCAACTGCAGTTTCTATTAAAAGGTGAATAATGTCTGTTTCAATTTTCCTAAAATTAGAAGTTTAAAAAATCCAAAAAAAGTGGTTTCAATGGGACTTGTGTGTAGTAGGGAAGCTATAAAGGGACAAGGGAAACTGATGTGTGGAAGTACACTGGGGGAGAAAATTGGGTATGTGCAGTGTCTTCACCCTGCATTTTAATAATTTATATCTCATAAAAGAAGCATGAAACCCCAACACATAGAGCAATTGAGGCACATCAGATAAAATAAAGGCTTAATCAGACCAAATTTCTTTGGAGGTACAAATGCATGTATTCAACAGCCCAGTGGTCCTCTCACCTCCACAAGGATGTCCCACAGACAACTCTAACTCACAAACACATAAAAAAGCAAATGGGTATCATCTCAAAACTAGCACTGTCTCTAACTTGCTTTGCTCATACCACCATGTGGCTGCTCATGACCCGACCTAGACTCCTAGCAACCATCTTTGATTTACTCACAAGCAAGTAGTTATCATGTTGCTCAAACATCTCAAGAATTTGACCATTGTAGGGATTATCTAGTGCATTAATTCAAGCCAGGCCATGGACAGGTTCTGTCCTCTGTCCATCAAGAGGAGTGGGGGCTGTGTCATCAGCTGATGGAGCTCAAACCATACTAGAGAAGCACTTTCCTTTGACTATCATTTGTCTCAGAGAAGCTTCAAACCACATTTCAACCTGCTTATTCTAATGTCTTTTGATCAGATATCAATAATTTTCAAATGATATTATCTTTTTAAATTATTGGTAAGTCACCACTCACAGAGATGTGCTCTGAGAGACACAACTTAATTCCCTGTTCTTGCCCCTTCCTCTCCTGATGCTAACCTTTTGATTCAAGCTTTCAGTGTTTCTCTGCTGCTAGTATTCTCAGTGTCCATTTCCCAAAATGTGTTCTATAACATAGTCCCCAAAGAAAATGGTTCCATGATAAATAAAAATTGAAAATAATGCAAATTACATAATACAAATGCCTTTTGCGAAATTAAAAATACACATTAGCATAGTGAAGAATCAGAAACCTCAAAGAACAAAAATCTATTCAACTTGGTTTAACCCAGGATTCCAAGTTTACTTTATGTCCAAGCCTTTGACATAGCATGAATAAAACAGCTAACCCTTTGGGAAATGCTGGAGGCTAGCCCAACTCTCCTCCGACTGAGTCATTTCCAGTGACCTGTCTTTGAGATTGATGATCTTTTCTTCTGCTTGACATTGTCTGCTATTGGATCCCTCTGGTAAGTTTTTCAATTTATTGTATTTTTTAGCTCCATGCTTTCTGCTTGGTACCTTTAAAAGTTTTCTTTTTGTTGAAATTCTCACTTTTTTTCATGCATTGTTCACCAGACCTCAGTGGGAATGTTTATAAGGATTACTCTGAATTCTCTGTCAGGTAAATCACGTATCTCCATTTCACTAGGGTCAGTTTCTTGAGATCTATCTCATTCCTTTATTTAGAAAATGTTTTCCTGTTTCTTCACTTTTCCATGATTCTCTGTGTTTGTGTCTGCACACTACATAAGACAACCACTTCCCCTAGGATTCATAAACTGGCCTCATACTGGAGAAGATCCTAACCAATCAGCCTGGACAGAGATTCCGGAGGCCTCTCAAACTTTTATGCTAGTGTAATCCACTTTCTTTGTTCTTGGCAGTCCCCAAGCATCAGTCCCTTGCTTGTCTCAGTTCCATAAGAGCTCTGAGACAAGCAAGACTGAAGCCAATTCTTCAGGCAACTCCCAGATAAGTTGGGTCATTGGATACATGGCACACCTCTTTGACTCTCCAGGAAAAAGTTGAAAGCTGGAGCTTTTCAACTATTAGCTTTGTGCTGGGCTGAGCAGGGGATAGTGACCACCACCACCAGCCATCTCTGTCTTCATTGGCCCCGGGGTTGCTAAAATATGCCATGTCCTGTCAGCACTCTGAGACTTGCCAGACAGAAGCCAGTCTTCTGGGTAGCCCCAGAAAAGCTAAGGCATTGGATGCATAGTATACATCTTTCCCCTTCCAGGCAGAAAGAAGCTGGGAGCTGGGGGTGGGGGGTAGTTGTCTTGATTGTATGGCACTGCACTGTGGGTAGGGATTATGGCATGAGGGTATCTTGAATTTCCCTGCTAATTAAGATCTGGCTGGTTTCATGCTCACCTGGCATATAGGAGCCTCTTAACTGGTTTCTGAATTTCTCATAAAGAAAACCTGTCTATAAATTATTATTGAATTGCTGTGTTCCAGGGCCTCCTATTGTACCATCTTGCCAAGGCTAGAACATTCTCTTACTTAAAGGTCTTTCACCAGTTTATCAGTTACACTAGAGAACCCAAACTCCTTAGGATAACCTAGGAAGCCCTTAATAATCTCTCTCCTACTTATCTCTCTATCTTTGTCTACTAAATATTTCATGAAGATCCCATGCTCCAGTCACACAGATATATCCAATACTCCAGGCTGTCTGATTCCAACACATCTTTATTTCTATCGTTCGATTACACACATGCACATACCCTCTTAGTTGAGCTCCAACTGCTCTAAGCTTCAGGCATCCTACCAACCAATACTGTCCAGACCTCAAGTCATGCTCAGTCTATCAGGGGCGGAATGAAAATGGATAATACAATGTGATAGGGGTCTCACTAGAGATGGGTGGAGAGAGCAGTGGGAATGGGAAAGGAGAAGTGCTAAAAGCTCAGGGAAGGCTTGCTGGAGATGATGATGACAGTGAATTTCAAAGGATGAGGAGAATACAGCCAAGGAGGAAGAGGACTGATAACAGATGGCCAGCAGGAGCAAGGGCAGAGACCTGGAGAGTTCGTGTTCTAGGAAACCTCAGGCCATGCCTTATCACAAGAGCATACAGAGAGTCAGAATTGCAAATGCAGGTGGGGGCACGCAGGGGCCAAGGTACAGGGAACTTTATCCTGATGCCATTAAGTATAAAAGAGTTTTGTAAGTTTTTTAAAAAAACCTTTAAATAGCTTAAAATAATACAGACAGCCCTCTGCATGCATAAGTCCCATATCCCTGGATTCAACCAACTGTGAATAGAAAATATTTGCAAAGAGAAACAATAACAACAACAAAAACAGCAACAGAAAACCCCACACACAATAAAAAATAACAACGCAACAACAAAAAACAATACAAATTCAAAAACTAATACAATATAATAACTATTTACATAACATTTCCATCATATTTGATGTTGTATACTCTAGAGAAGATTTAAAGTATACTGGAATATGTGCATAGGTTATATGCAAATATGATGCCATTTTCTATCAGGAACTTGAGCATCTGTGGATTTGGGTATCTATAAGGTGTCCTGAAACCAATTCTTCATGGATATCAAGGTCTTCATGGATATCAAGGGATGACTGTATATCAATTCTATTTTATGTATTTTCTTTATTCCTTTATGTTAGCTTTCAAATTCTCTACATTAACATGTGTTAGTTTTTTTATAATGGGGAAAAAATTTCAGTATTTTTTTACAAGAAAACATTATGCACAGGAAAAAATTAAGATAAATCTCATCAGCCAGAGGACATTAATTTCAACATTTTGCTTTAAAAATATGTTTTTAATCCTGTTTTATCTATGCACTTTTTAGCTGTTGTTTACTTGAAAAAACAACTTAAATACATAGGAATACCATATGATCCTGTCATTGTTTATAAAACAATGTATTTCTACTGCTAATACTAAAAGTATAAAATTTCATTATATGAACTGTTTCTGTTATTTTGTTTGTTTGTTTGTTTGATTTTGAGACGAGTCTCCCTCTGTCGCCCAGGCTGGAGTGCAGTGGCGCGATCCTGGCTCACTGCAAGCTCCGCCTCCCGGGTTCAGGCCACTCTTCTGCCTCAGCCTCCTGAGTAGCTGGGACTACAGGCGCCTGAACCACGCCGGCTAATTTTTTGTATTTTTAGTAGAGACAGGGTTTCACTGTGTTAGCCAGGATGGTCTTGATCTCCTGACCTCGTGATCTGCCTGCCTCTACCTCCCAAAGTGCTGGGATTACAGGGAACTGTTTCTTTAAACAATTCCATATCATTGGACATCTAATTTATCTCCAGTTTTTTGCAATTATAAACACAGTGATGAACATTCTTATAACTCAATTCTTATTCACATGAAAATTTATTTCCTCAAGTTAGAAGCGGAATTGCTAGCTGAAAGGATATTTTAGGGTTTTTGACACTAACAAATTGCCCTCCAAAGAAGTTGTACCAATATCAGACTCCCACAGAGACACATGAAAGTACCTTGTTTCCTATTTTGATATTGGAAATTACTATTAAAAAATCTTAAGGCAGGGCACTGTGGTTCATGCCTGTAATCCCAGCACTTTGGGAGGCCAAAGCTGGCGAATCACAAGGTCAGGAGTTTGAGACCAGCCTGGTCAACATGGTGAAACCCCGTCTCTACTAAAAATACAAAAAATTAGCTGGACATAGTTGCAGGCGCCTGTAATTCCAGCTACTTTGGAGGCTTAGGCTGGAGAATCGCTTGAAGTCAGGAGGCGGAGGTTGCAGTGAGCCAAGATCGCACCACTGCACTCCAGCCCAGGCAACTCTGCCTCAAAAAAAAAAAAAAAAAAAAAAAATTTGCCATTTATCAACAGTAACAGAAAGCAGGTCAGTGATTGTCTGGGGAGTAGAGCTGGTGGGAGTGATAGATTGCAAAAGGGCATGAGAAATCTTTTGGGGAGATGAAAATGTCAAGACTGATTAAACTGTAGACATTATGTGCAGTTTATTATACTTCAATTATACCTCAATAAAGTTGTAAATAAAATTTGCCAATTTGATAAA